AAACCCATACTATGCCAGCGTCTCAATACTTCTCCAATCTGAACTCGAGAGTAATCTCTCTCTTCTGTCTAGGCTCTACATTTTAAAGGAATTTCAAATTGCTTGATGTTGTGCAAGGTCTGCAAGTAATGATCTCTCGTTGTGTGCTTGGTCCATTTGAACGGATCATTTTCACCTAAAGATTTCGAGACGTGGTGGTTTGATCTTTTTCATATGCTTCTTCAAGGAAGCTCGTAAGGCGAAGGCCAGTGGTCTTCCGCCTCCAGAAGCGTCTGCACCAACCCAAGCTTCAGCCCCTGCTGCACAGTCGAGCCCTGCTCCAAAAACGGAATATAAAGAGGCAATGATTCAGGTAGTTCACAGAATTCACTTGTGTTTTTATTTTTAACGCTGTTGTTCCCCAGTGATATGCTCTGTTGTATAGGTTCGTCTCCCCTCCGGTCAAGCAGTTCGACAAAGTTTCGGAGCCTCTGAACCGGTATTTTTTGTTTTTATTTCACAACGATTGTTAATGAAATTATCAAGTTAATTATGTTTGCTCATTAAAGAGAGTTTTTTTTCGAAAGCTTGCACTTTTTCACTTTCCTTTTATGTATTTCAGAGTATTGCTGAACTTTGTAAATATTTCGATTCCTTTTTCTCGCCGTATATTAATTAACTTAACCTGCAGAACTCACTGCTTTATACTTTTCTCTTAAGTTCTGTATTCCTTTTACCTGTCCTTCTTCCACACTAGATTTCATCGGAAATCTCTTTTATTCTTCTTGATTTTCTCATTGAAGTTCTCCCATTTTTTGGTATTTTCTTTCTCTTTCTTACGACAGTGTAATCAGTTGGATGTACCTCTTTTGTAGAATATTTTTGGTTCACGGATTATAGGAGTAATAATACAAATGCTACCTTTGTGTTATTTACAGCTGTCTGCCGTCAGACTATGGTTGGAGATAAATCATTCGGATGGAACGCCTTTCAGCCTTTTGATGCCGTTTCCTCGTAAATTAATGACTGACGAAGATTATGACAAACCATTGAAGGAACTCGGTACGCAATTTTACCTTTATAATTTTTTTTATTTGGATTTATTTGCATTCCTGATAGTAGGCTGGACAAAGTGAATGGGATGCAAATTTTTTCATTTAGGACTCGTGCCTTCTGCTAACTTTGTGATGACTCGTTAAATCGAACACAAACGCTTTCGTCTAATGTGCACGATATCCATTTTTATAGAGTAATAGTGCTTTTACTTCAGTAAAAGTTTCGCGAATTTTCTCATTCCTGAAAACTGTATTTGAGGTGTATTTGAGAATTTCTATTGGTAAAAGTAATTATCTCCTCTCATGTCTCTGTACTTATCTTTCTCAAATACGAGGTTTTCAACGTCAAAGTTTTTGAAGCCAATAAATTTCTCGATACTCTCTGTTTTTCCATATGTGAAAACAAGGCTCCTATCTTCCCATTAGTACTGAGCGTTGTTACAATTTAGTTCTGAGCGCTACTCAAGACGTAACCAATTAGAAGGTGTTTGAGTTCTTTTTTTCGCTGTTACACTAGCTATAAGAACTGGAATTCTCGTAAGGTAATTTACGGACGTAAGGGGCAATTCTGTTCACTGATTAAAGTACCGTCGGACTCTGCAGGTTAAATTTTTGAGGACTAGATGAACAAAAGTCTATCACGGTCAGGTGAAAAAGAGTCGTTCCAGAATTATTAAATAATTATATTTCTGTCTAATTCAGTGGATTTTTTTTGTTTTAGGGTCCAGTAAAAGAAAGGAATCCTGGGAATCCTGACGTTCCCTGATTTAGTACGCGAGTTTTATTCCTCTATGGTGTTAGTGGTGCACGACTCCTATCGGGGGATCAACGACCACGGCCAGTGAGGTTAATACGGATTAGTATTCTGTAGGGCTATAAATGGGCAAACCGTCATATAACTGATCGACCAAAGCTCTAGAACGTTCTAATCGAAAGTACTTACAGGAAATGCGTAAAGAGCAGAGAAGGTTACCCGACCATGGCAAGAGAAGATAACTTGATGGTATGATGCTGTGAATGAGAGTAACAGAACTCACCAAGTATTGCGCCCTTCTATCAAATGAGTGCAGGTAAGTATTGTAATTGTTGAAAGCGAGCGATTTACCTCGTTTACAGAAGCATCACTGGGTAGTTTGGAAGAGAAAGATTTCAAACTTGATTACTAGAAAGATTATTTTCATTTCAGAACTTTATTGTTGTGTTTTTATTGTCAATTTTTTGTTGACAGCTGTTTTTCGTAAATCCATATCGGCCTTAGTAAATGAGTAAGTAACGCTAATGTGATGTGGGTTCAGGTATTATATTAGAGGTCTTGATAATGGTGATGGGAAACTACAGTGTGCAAGAGCGCAGCGCGTCAACCACAGAATTCTTGGTCCTGAAATCAAATCTCAGTGATAAGAGTGAGATTAGCCAGTTTAGAGGAAAGGGGAATCTGGCTAAAAAACTAGTCATATACTTAAATGATATGCACTTGTAAGAGCGGGTAAATTCATTAAAAAACCTTGTTTATGAAAGTCTTGAGTGTAGAACGTGTGTTTTAGAACAGGACGCAAACTTGGGCTTACGCCATTGCTGTGTTTATTCTTCACACTTCCGAGGCATTACATCCGAGCTGCCAATGATATTCTTGCCATAGTCTACCTCACTTTGCACAGCGGATCGAATGGAAATACTGCTACAAGTGAGTTACTAACTTTTGGAGTCAGAGATGCCAAAGAAGTAGATTTCCATGGGACTAGGTTTGATTCATAAGAGGACTTCAAATTTTATCAAAGTGCAAAATTAGCTGAATCTTTGAAAGGTCTTTCAAAACAACAGCTATCCTAAATCAGGAGCGGTGGGTTCAGATTTTTTTCAATTCATCTCCCGTTCCGAAATGGTGAAGAGACTTGTCCACAAGGAAAAACCTATTCCTATTTTCTCATTCTGTTCATTTATTCCTGTTTTTTTTATCTCCTATGAGTTTCATTTTGAGCGTCATTTTTTGAGTAGCGGTCATTGCCTTTGTTCAAATAGATCAATAAGCATTTTGGGGCGCAATATTTCTTTGGAAAATTGCTGTAAAAACTGAAGAGCCAGACGTCGCCACAGATGGCTCATTTACGCGGCGTCAATATGAGTCGTCAAAGTCGTTAACGAACCTTCACGAAGCGGTATCTATTGGACAACGAAGAATAGATACGATGTAAAGTAATGTGAGTAGAAGGCGAATGTCAACTGGCGCCCGAATATGTCAACGATGGTGAGTTGGTACATGAGTAAACGAAGAACTACAAGATGAACTCATTTCTTGGCTTGGTTTTTACGCGGTAGTGGTCCTTATTGTGTTTTGAGCCACGAGCCATCACAATCAGTTTTTCCCCGGAAAAAATTTGATGTGCTTGAATCTGAATCTGATGCATCTAGCCAAGTTATAACTGTTAGCGGGTTGGTCCTCGACTTATGTGTAAAAGGTTATGGGGCTCATTAGCTTGGCATCCACCTCCATACGATATCTCTAGTCCATTGGGTCGTCATTATTCTAACGTAACGTATTTTATTCAAAGATGGACGGCAGTAGAACTTGCTAGCTACAGCTGCAGCAAAAACTTAGACTAAAATCGAAGAACTGAGATGCATCTTTTTCATGTGATGCAGGGTGTACAAAACTTACCCTTCTGTGCTTTTTTCTAAGTAGCAGTTACTTTTCGACTCCACATTCACCAACGTCTACTTTATAAGCTCTATCTGTAGCGAAGGACCGGTCGTGTCCAGCTACTCCGCAAGGTGAACTATAGCCTTGGTAGATTTTGACAACCGATTCCGAGCTTCCCTTCGGATTTTTACTCTTTGTATCTCTTCAAGCCGTTGAAAAGTTATACAGACTGAGAAGTGTACGCCAATTGGGGGAAGTAGGTAGTCTTCCCCCAATTGGCGTACCGAAGTATCAGTAGGCAAGTGAATATCTCTAGCTAAGACTAGCAACACCAAGAAAGTTTCCTGCAAAGAAGGTCTGTTCAGTGAAATATTGGAGGCGCGCACCAGCGGGAGCTTCTGAATAGTAACACTACCGTCGACTCGGCCGCGTATGGCTTGCCATTGCTCAGACGTGCTGCTGAACTTGCAAAGTTACGATGTTCTATGGGTTTTTTGGCCTGGTGACAGCCCACTCTCACATTCTGCAAAGGGAACTCGAAGGATCTTGCAAAGGACGACTTTCTTTTTCTCCCTACAACATATTTTAAATCCCGTACCAGCTGACTAGCCGTTGTTTTTCTCGCTCGCTCACTACCTAAATGGCAAGAGCTAATTATCGTGAGCATCTCGAAAAAGGGTTCGAGAAATTGTTTATTTTGAAAGCAAAACAAATCTGGGAGAGAGGAATTTATTCACGAGCGAATGGGCTGAGGGCAGTCTGTTCTGTTGCACCCAAACAATTAAGTTCTAAAGGAAGTAGCAATTTTTAATTACCACTATTATGTTCGAACGTTGCTTATGACTTTTCCCAGTAGGATACAAGCCTACAGTTTTTTTAGTTGTTTAATTAGTTGCCGACTATTCAAAGTTCAAATAACGTCCCGGAATAGATTGGAAGATTATGATGCTTATGCAATCGCTCCTGGAAGCCTAATCGATTACAGTATTTCAATAGTTCTCATATTTCCCATAATAACAATGAATGCAAGGCTCGCAGCGGAATATAAAATATTCGTTATATTATATTAACTATGTGAATTCGAAGAAATGCAAGGTTTGGCTGGCCTATTTCGAAAGATTGAAATGGTAATGGTGTTTACATAGCATAAAAACCTACCCAATTCTCCCTCCTCCGATAGAGGAAATAGTACATTTCCACCCACCCTTGCTTAACTATTCATGAATGGTTCATTTCAGAAAATATTTTTTGAGAAGTCTTTTTGGAAACTTTAGCGATTGTATAATAATGATATCAACAGAAATGGTAATCCTAATATAAATGATTGTAACGGTAATAGTGAGAGGCTAAAGGCTGAAGTCTACAGCGTTAATCATTTCCTTCTTTGGGATAAGCCCGCGCATTCGACTTCTATCCAGAATCGTAGTGGAATATTGAATGCGTATGGGCCCTATACAATGACTTGAGGTGGCCATTCGTAAAGAGTCAGAGCTATTCTCCCAGACGAGTCTGGTAGAAATAGAACGACCCCGAGGGACCGAGGGACGGAAGGTTAGGTTCGGTTATCCTGGACGAGATTCGACTCAGGATTCAGTCCCCGAACCATGACGTATGGTAGTGCGCAACTTGTCACCCCCTATCTCTGCCTAAAACTAATGTTAATAACTGTAGTACTACTTATAATGATAGTAATATCAGTAATAGACAGTGGTGGAGTGCCAAGTAGAATATAGCCGCACACATGGTGCGAGGATCAAGTTCAAGTTCGATACCCGCGAAACCCAACCAAGCCTTTCAACTCTCCCGGGTCGGTTAGTTGGTACCGACTCGTCTGGGAGGATAAAGTTCAGACTTGTACACCAGCTGGTCACCGCAAGTTATTTCAAAGGGTTGCACTTTCTTTCTAACTGCCACTACGACTCTGGTTGGAAGTCGAATGCGGGGTGCTTCCTAGAAATGGGCTTGGTCAGTGCCCAAAGTCTTCACCCTTCAGGCGTAATATTAGTTGTAATAGTATTACATGTATTCCACAGTTGTAAGACTGCACAAAAGTTCAAAAAAAAGGCGTAGGCCCCAATGGAGAGTGTGCTTGGTTGATGACAACATAATGTAGTCCTTAAGTTCGATGCCAATATCTTTACGAATAAGTCCAAAATGTGTTCAATGTGGGTGTGAGTAATGACGAAACCTTTCCCTCTTCCATCCTGACCTTGGAGTTTTATGGCCATGTATACTTTCCCGTGAAGTAGGCGGCACTATTCATTCCGCTACCATTTGCGGGTGGTGCAGCGCTTATATTTGCATTTCCTTACTTACTCTTTTCAGCAGGTTATCTAATTTTGCCAATTTACATATGGTTTACGAATTGTTTATTTATTCGGTTCCCCACTCATTTTATTAACTTCTTTATTACTTGTTAGTATGATAACAAATCAAACAGTATTGTATGATGAACCATTATTATACAATATGTTTTTCCACTAGTTCAAAATCTAACACAGACTGG